ACAGACATACAGTAATGAGATAATTAAATAGAATAAAAAAGAATGTTACATTTGTTGTCACACTGCATCACTCCATTGGCCATCGTGCTGGTTTCTTATGCGTGCCTGCCTGGGCCACCAGTGGGCAGACGAAAACAGACAGATGCACGGACCTATTGTTCAGAGAGATAACTTACCCTGTTGCTCATGCTCACCTGCGACCCAAGTGAGATCAACAAATATGGACAATTGATGGATGAGTGTCCCATGTCACAAGTACAATCAAGTTTGATCACTCCCATTTTCATGTTGAAAAGAGGCTTCATTGTTTTCCTGGTGTGTTTGTGGGGGCGGGGTGGGGTGGAGGTCGAGTGCTGGAATGCTGGAGGGGAACTGAGTGACAGGTTTGGACTTTGGATGGTAGGCGGGGTCCCAGAACATGTCGCCTGTGACATCACTGCCACTCGGCCCGCTGCAAAGGTGGAGTTTCCTTCCTGCAAAGCTGCCACCTTGCAACTAACATTGAAACTGTACTGCAGGGTTATTGTTGCGGGGGCGACCTACCCAATATGCATGCCGATTTTATAAAACATCTTAATTCAACTTGACTGCTGAATAGAGATTAATATCCACCATGTTAACAATTTCGGTGGCGCTGAGGACGCATACCCGTGATGGGTGACTTCAGCACTGGCTGAATGCCTTGCTTAATGGCAGCATATTATTCGTCTTAAGATTAATTCAACATTACAAGACACACTACGGAAGGTTGTGGCAGCAAAATTCATGCAAAATGTCTCTGTTGATTCTGACACCAGTATCAGTAAGGGTGCTGATACAGATGTATGTCGTGTTTGCATGTTAGGACAGAAGCCTACTTGGTTCTTATTACAGCTCCCTGTACATAATGTCGCCTGGTGTTCAGACTGAGATACCACACAACTGAAATAGGTAGTGTTACAGACTACATTTAAAGGGCGAGTTTGCTATTTTAGCCTCACTTCATGACCCAGCTCAATCATATCTTAAGGCACCTCTGCATCAATATGCAACAGAACTTTGACCCAACGCTTCAAATAATTACATGACCATTTTTTATGATTCTCGCTTGAGGGAGGGGAAATCATCGATTTATATTCTATCTATATTCCATTGTGAACATGATTTGCCCTCATGACAGCTGCTCCGTGTTTCCATGGAAATCTGAATTCTTCGGAATGTGTCCATTTCCTTGTGCCCTCATTAACACTGAAAAATGTCAATGGGACTTGACTGTAGGAAGTTATCCAGGTTCAGTCAAGGCACTTCCTTTACAATTGTGTATTAAGAGCATGTGACATTGAACAAAAGCCCTCTATTAATCCATTTGCTACCATTTCACAGCCTCAGTATCACGGATGGCTTGAGCACTTACAACAAACAGAGAAACATTCATACTGACACTCTTAAGCCTTCAATTGACCCTGTTGTGCAGACCTGTATCAAATGGGAAATGCATCCAGTAGTGCTGCTACATAAAATTATCAAATATAAACAGAAGCAAAGTAGCATACATATTTTTACAGAAATACAGACATCAATCTAAACAAGAGGCATACAAAAAAAAAAAAATCTGACAGAATTTGATTCAGGGCTTCTCTCTGTTAATTATATGAGTCAGCCAGTCCTCCGTTAAGCGTCTCCAGTTGGACCAGAATGCTGCTGCTCGCCTCTTGACTGGTGCTCATAAAAGGGAGCATAAACTGTGGCATCCCTTCATGACTCCCTATACATTTGAGTGTTCTTATTCGTTTTTTTTTCCCCTATTATTTGTTTTCAAATATTTAAATGGCCTCACCCCACCTTACAACTCTTCGAGTTCCTCCACCCCCATGCACCTGCCCATTGCCTCAGGTCTGCGGACCAGACATTATTAGAAGTACCAGGAACTAAGCGAAGGCTCAGAGGGGATTGAGCCTGCACACGCTGCACACAGAAGGCCGGGGCCGGATTCGTACCCACGAGCTTTGCACCGTGAGGCGGACGTGCTAACCAGTCGACTACCGTGCCACCCTGCTGCCATATATATACGATTTATTGTTCCTCATTAAAAATAGTTGAAGATAGCAAAGTAAGGCAACACTGAACTTGACAAAGTTATAACTGTAATTTTGGAAAGTGTGGCCTGAGTGGTGGGTCAATGACTGATTTATACTTTAATTGCATACTGGCTGCTTCTGATGTGGTCATCTATGACGGTATCACAGGTGATTTTACTGGACATGACTCAGCCTTGTATTACTCAGCGGTTATTGGTAGATCCTCTGAGTCATGTTGCACCCATTTCTTGGATTGCCCCTATAGAAAATCATTCTGCCAAACTGTAGGGTGAGCTGGAGGAGTATGATGCTGGCTCTTGCAGTCTGAGGTTGACTGAACAAGGAATAAGAGGTTGACAGCAAGCGGAGGGAGACTTAATAGGAGAGGAAAAACAAACGCGCTTTCAGTCACTTTCACTCTGGTTCAGTTTGGTTGTCTGAAGTCACGCCGAAAGTGTGGTGCACTGAAGCGCAGCGTTGGACAAAGTAATACTGATGAATTATTCAACAACGGTGAACGGATGAGACTTGGGCCTTCATACTTACTTGTATGCTGCAGACTGCCTGGAGTGTGAGGAGAGATTACCTGCTTCTTCTGCATAAGCGTAACACAGCTATTGACAATATGCATATGCATAAGTACTATCAATATGAGCTATACAATAATAACATAAACATAACTATGTGTCTGGAACTTCCCATAGTCATTGGCTCACTTTATTTTATGCCAAAATGGACAAGTTGAAAGCTAAGCAGTGATGGCTGGCTGAGAGCAGACCGTGTGTTGACCTGCTGTTTGATGATAAAGGCAAGGTCACTTGTGTCTGCGGTGTTTCAAGCAAAAACAAAGTACACAGGAGCTGTTTCCTCTCTTGCCTTTCTGCTTGAAGCAAAAAAAACAAAATATATGTCTTCTCTGTGACACAGAAGCACACACCTTTTGAAGAAGTCTATGCACATGTATGATGAAAAAATATCTTTAAAATTATAACATCTATATTTTTTCCTCACCATATCCTGAAGTAATGCTCACCTGTAATCATATTTCTATCGCTACCTGATATTACAAAGGAACGTTTTTCAATGGAATGTACATTATGTATGCTACTTTAGCAAAAGTATTTGGACATTCCTTAGTTCAATGTTAATTTAAATGAAAATTTAATTTCAACTATATATTTTTCCATTGATCTCCTCTTTAATTTTCCTTCAGATTTTCATTTTGTCACCCTGTGATTGAGTGGTGACCAGTCCATGGCAATAGTTTTCAATGTGTCAGGGGAAAGGTGCAGCATCTGAAGAAGATTTTAAAAGCTCAGCTATATTGTAAGGAAAGATATGAAAAAATTCCCCCAAAATGGATTCAGGAAATGTTTGTGAAATGGGGACTGATTTGGTGTCTGAACCCACGAAGATATGGTCAAAAATACCCAAATCACTTTTTATTTATTACTTCTTTAATACTATACTAAATTTAGATTTTTGGAGGTCCTGTACTATTTTCCTCAATTTAAAAAAAATGTTGAATTAACCTGGCGGCCCGGTGATCCAGTGGTTAGCGCATCGACCTCACAGTGCAGTTCGATTCCAGCTCCGGCGTCCCTGTGTGGAGTTTGCATGTTCTCCCCGTGCCTGCGTGGCTTTTCTCCAGGTACTCCGGTCCCCCCCACATTCCAAAAACATGCATCGCAGGCTGATTGAACACTCAAAATTGTCCCTAGGTGTGACTGTGAGCGCGGATATTTGTTTGTCTCTGTGTGCCCTGTGATTGGCTGGCAACCGGTTCAGGGTGTCCCCCGCCTACTGCTTGAAGACAGCTGGGATAGGCTCCAGCACGCCCCGCAACCCTCGTGAGGATAAAGCAGATCAGAAAATGGATGGATGGATGGATGGATGAATCCTTTTAACTCAACTCATTCCACAAGATGCAGCAGTTTGACACATCATAATTCATTCTTTAAAACAGAGGTATCAAGCCTATTATTGCCTCTCATGTTTGACATTTATGGTCAAACGAAACATAAATTTAAAAAAAAAATGCTGAATGAATTAAATTCGAATGTTGTCCATTTAAAACAATTCCAAACTGTTCCTCAAAGTCTGCTAGATTAACGAGTGAAGCAAAAATCGCGACAAAAATTGTTTATTTTTAATTATGTAATTGCTCTGTATTTTCAAAAAGTACAAGATTCTAGAGTGCTGGTTTTCTGATTTAAAAAAAAAAAAAGTTACATTTTGGTTGTTTTTGAGGAGGTGGCTGGAACAGATTAATGTCATTTCTATTCTTTCAATGGGGAAAGACAATTTGAAGCCCAATTTCCCCCAACAGCTGATGCAATTTAATTTGTATGCAAAAGCTGAATCTTTTCAAAACCTGCAACTCAAGTCACTTCACTGTAATGGTGATAGCAAATATTCATCGTCTGAACCACTGTGTCTCATCATGATATGCAAACGTTATATTCCTCTCCGGTTTCTTAGCTGACTGTTAGTAAGTACGATTGCTACAGGCAAAATGGTCTCTTTATAATAAAGATTCTGCGATTACTTTCCCCTTGGGTGTCTGTAGATTCGCATTGGAGCTGCTACTTTGCATTACAGAGTAGAAGCAATGTGGTGAACAGTGTTGGGCAAATGCCTTCCAAAATGTTAATTTGTCGATAGCGTGGTGTATAATGCTGGCCTTCAGTTAATATTTGTATTTTCAGAATGGACACCATAAAAAAATCGACACGTTCAAATTCATTTACGCATATGGGAAAGATAAGTTGATATTGGCAATATGAGTTCCTGTTATCAGTAATTTTTTTTTCAGTGGCACTTTGCGTAAAAAGTTTGCAAAATACTAAACGATCACTATACCCATCAGTATTTGTGATTGGTCCATATCAAATACATCGACCGTATCTTTTTAAAAAATTCCTCTTTCTCTATGTCTTGCAGTCCTACTTTGTCACGGACTATGACCCCACAATTGAGGACTCTTATACCAAGCAGTGTGTGATTGACGAAAGGGCAGCCAGGCTGGACAGTAAGTGCACCTCGTTAATCCACATGTTCAGTTGCTTTACGCACTAATCCAACACACATAGTTGACCCTAGTGGTCTTCAGATTATTGTATTTGATGTTGAAATGGCTGTCTGTGCAGTTCTAGACACGGCTGGGCAGGAAGAGTTTGGAGCCATGAGAGAACAATACATGAGGACAGGGGAGGGCTTCCTGCTCGTCTTCTCAGTCACCGACAGAGGAAGGTGAGTGACAGTTCTGATCATGGACGAGTGCATGCTTGCCTCTTTCTTTCTATGTGTGCACACGTCTGTTTACTCTTCATAGTTACGCCCTCTTGCTAGCGCTCCCTCAACCAGAACCATAAATCTTCTTTTTCGGCAGTCTCTCACTATTGTTTGGGTCTCTTTCTTTTGTTTTCCACACTGGAGTTCGATGATGTTGACAAAAGAAATTTAGAATGCTTGTTCGCTCTGACATTGAAGTCAAAACAACGAGGCTAAGAGAATCAGTCGACAATGGTGTAGCTTCACTCAAGTGTTTGGACAAGCTAATGCAGCATAAAGTCAACAGCTACTTCATTAGGTACACACTGGGATGCTACCGTGAAGTTATTTATTTACCCGATCATATAGACACAGATAGCAAGAGTACTTGGAATAAAACAATGCCTAATTCCATGATACTTTCTCGAAGAGTGGATCCATCTGTTTTGGTGAGGATCTGGATAGAAGTAATTTAGTTCAAGCAAATGGCATCGGTGAAGACCCCTAAGAATAATAATGGCATTGTCCTTGTTCCTCCATTTCCTGCAAAGCACTTTACAAACAACTAAAGAACACAGTTTGTTGTTTTTTAAAAACCTTTCTTAGATGACATTTCACCTTTGTTGGCGATCCGCGCTCCACCGAGTGACATTCTATTTGTTCCTTTATTCATTACCGCATTGCTAAAACAACAAATCCACGGTAACCGCAAAACAAAACAGCTTGAACCGCTCCCTTTTTTTTTCTACATTTTGTACATTTGCTGGTAATCATGAGACTGCACAATGATCTCACCAGTGAATGAATATGACTCCTGATGTCAAGAGGTTGACATTTTCACTCACCTATTTCACAGGTGTACAGGTGTAGTATTATTGATATATGCCTCAAACATTTTTTGTTCCTACTCAGTTGTCCACTAAGCTGAATATCTCTCCACGCACCCACAGCTCCCCTCCATCAATGTTTATGTTGTCAACAGTCTTTCCTTCCTCCATTTACCGAATGTGAGTCAAGTCTTTCCAGATTTGCTAGGTGCGACTTTTTTGTGGTTTTGTGTCTACAATCCCATCCTGGGTTTATGGCTGATTTTATTTACTTATTTGCTATTACTGAACCATGAACTGCCGTTTTACGCAGGCAATATATTTCAGACCACTTCATGCAGTGTATGTTATATAGACAGACTGTGTAAAAACGATTAAACCTAGTTTTACTCCTTCCAAATGCTTTAAACACGTTCAACTTATTGAAACTCACTTTTCAAGTATTGCTTTGCACCTGATCTTACTTTTTGCTGTGAAATACATCGGCATATGACATCACTTTGAACAAAAAAAGAAGATTCGCTCTCACAGTTCTCCCAAAAAGATGCACCCTGTGCTTGCTTCAAGTGTTTCAATGTTACTCCAAGTTTAAGCTTCATGTCAAACTGACACAAAACCAAAAACGATTTAACATCGTATAGCTTAACACCAAACCATATCATTTCGTTTATAAAAGTCAACGATGCGAGACACCATTGGGGGGCTGACGGAAATTCGTTTAAATGATTCCTTAAAAATCTGCGATAATGTATGAGATGCAAAAGATGAGCCGTGATATAACGGTGGGGGTTCACTGTAAAAAGGCAAAGTCAGACTTTAGACCCAAGCAACAAACAAGCAACTTTATTTGTATGTATGTGTGTCCTGTATATTGTGCTGCAGTCTTTCATTTTCGAGACCCTCAGTCAGGGTGATGGCTGTGTGGGTGGATTTCCTTTGCGGTTTCAAGCGTGTGCATATCTACATATGTTAATGGAGGCACGCGTCATTGGAAAAGAACTGTGTCATCCATTTGCACTACCACATCCCACTTAATACACCGTGTTGTGTATTTTACAGCTTCGAAGAAATCTACAAATTCCAAAGACAAATTCTGCGAGTGAAAGACAGAGATGAATTCCCGATGATCCTCGTAGGGAACAAAGCCGATCTGGAGCTGCAGAGACAAGTAAGTCCAACAGATTACACATTTCTCCTGTGTAATCATCTGATGAGATAATGTGACCCAATCACCACCATTCACAACTGCATATTAGAGATGGAAGCGAGCGTCGCAGCTGCAGCTAGCTGCTAACAGACAGGATGTGAGCATAAAAGAGCAGCTGGAGAAATGGTGACGTCAGGAGGGGAGGCTGGATAAAAGAAAAAGTGTGCTGAAATTGGGTATTTTGGGGCCTTTGGTGCACAGCTGCTGCTTTGTGAGTCTACAGCTCCCTCGTATGGTGAAAAAGAGCACTGCAGGTACCGACTACTTTTAAATACAGTATCGGTTTTTGTTTCAAGCCTCTTGTGCTCCGACAGACTGTACTTGCAGGTCATAAATTGCAAGCAAATTTAATTCATTTTAGATGTAGCCAGGATATTTGCTGATGGCACATTTTCAATGTCTGCATTGTCAGTCTCCAAATGAAACAAAACCACTCCAGTATAACTTTGGGCAAGCAACTATGGAAAACAGTGTTAAGGATATCAAATGAATGCTCAAATGGCTTTCCATAAGTGACAAATATTAGCGTAAGACAATTATTATATGCGTAACCACACAAAAAGCATAACGTTATTTTTCCTTGTTATGAAGTAATTGTTTTGTTGTCCACTAAGCGTGTCACCATTTTTATGTAACGCAGAACTCTAAAAGACAAGTGCAGTAATTTATCGACAAATATTTTTAACAACCTGAAAGGTTTAATTTGCTACTTGTTTTGTTTCCTGATAATGTAGGCAGGCAATGCTTACAACATAATAGTAACAAATCTCTTTTGACATTACATCGATAGCAGATATCAAGATACTGTCTGTTTTTGACATTGTCCGATGTTTTGTGTTCTGGGCCCTTTGATTGTTTACCTCTGTCTGTCTCCCTCAGGTAACTCAAGAGGAGGGCCAGCAGCTGGCCAGACAGTTGAAGGTCACTTACATGGAGGCTTCAGCCAAAATCCGTATGAATGTCGACCAGGCTTTTCACGAGCTGGTTCGAGTAATTAGGTAGGTGCTTCATCTGTTTTCGTGTTATCAGCGACAACTCGAGATGCACCGACACTAGTGTCGTGATCAGTACCAAGACTGAAAGTCTGCACTGATCCTCATAAAAATGCTCCGATACTACAACACGGATTGCACTTCACCAGCCTGACACATACAGTAGCTTCCAGGTAGGAGCCATGTCAGCTTTTGCTTTTGCAAAGCATGTCTGTCGCTGATACATAACTTTCTTTGTAAAACAAGAACCCGCACCACACTTTTTCAAAATAGAGTCCAAAGTAATGTGAAGTAATTGTGTGATAACGTAGGGCTACAGTTGTCCTCCCACTGTTTTATTTTTGAAACCAAATGCCTTGTGTTACAGGCTAAATGCAAGTGAAATATGTGGCAAAATTGGATCTTATAACGTCATTACAGTAAGTTGTTACTGTAAAAAGTTTTACCTTGCGTAAAGCTGTCATGTTTAAGAAAAGTTTGTTTTTTTAAACATTTGATGAAAATAAAACAGGCTTTGCCAAAAAAAAAAGTTCAGAGGGCATGATCAAAAACTTGGATCATCAATTGCATATGATCCGTACTCATTTTAGTTATTCAAGTTTCATACTGTAGACTTAAATAGTGAAAATCCGGAAATAATTGATGCCTACATTGTAATTACGCACAGATGCCACAAGATGGCGACTGAGCTCCTCAAAATGTGATTGATATTCCGTTTTGATTGATTTGTTTACTGTGGTCAGAAACAAGACAGACAAAGTATAAACAGCCAAGCATCAACACCATGCATCTAGAACAGAGGTGCCCATTACGTCGATCGTGATCGACCAGTTGCTCACCAAGGGAGTGTGGGTCGATTCCATGGCCTTAACTTATTCAGTTCCATCCCTCCCAGTTTTATCCTATTGATAGATACTATACCTGCCTTTTGACACCGATTGAGTACAAAAACAAGTAGACTCTTGCCTGTCACCATCCGTGATGAACATTGTCACATGATTGACATAAAGGGCAGCCAGTCATGCGCATGCACGTCCAACTATCAACTCGCCTTATTAGCCTCCAATATGTTTTGTCTACTCGAAACTACATAAAAAGTATCAACATAAGAGCCACAAATTAAGCCAAGTATTTCCATACACAGGAGGACTTTTTCCCCTCTAAATATGACATTGGTATTCCACTTGGATTGATTTATTTACCGTGTATTTTTTTTAATTTTATTTTTTTGCTCGACTTGATAGGTTTTCTTCAACATTTGACCCATCAAAGTAAAGTAAAAGTAGATCTGCTTTGTTCCCTCCAAACTCCCAGGAAGTTCCAAGAACAGGAATGTCCACCGTCGCCAGAACCGACAAGAAAAGAGAAAGACAAGAGCGGCTGCCATTGTGTGATCGTCTGAGTTGGCCTTATCACTGCAACTCATGCAGCTACTCTGTGTTGCCCCGCCCACTTGCCTGACATCACATCCCAGCGTGGATGACTGACCGCTGCCTTCTCCACCACGTGCATGTCTCCAGACAGCTCCCCTCCAGACCTTCCCATCTCTGGGATACTCGGACTCGGGGTCTCTGTGCCCAGGACTTGACTATGGACGAGTGACAATGTCAAAATTGAAACAAAACACCACTCTACCGTCAGCCATAACCCGATTTACATGACTCAACATTGCCTTCTAAATCAGCCTGACCAATTCATGTTTTGTACTCGTAAGGACTTCTCTTGCCTTGTAGTGATTTGTACTTGCTGCCGAGATTGAATGAAACAAAGTAAAAGATGTATGTGTGGTGTGTGTATTGATATGTATATATAGATATAGATATCTATTTGTCTATCTCTATATCTATATATGGATATAGATCTCCCGAATGTTACCAAGTTCCTTTCAAATGTCTGACAGAGCAGAGAGATTATTTTATGAAGCTTTGTGTTATGTTGTGCCATCTTTTCTCCCATGTGCTAATCTGCTACTGTACATATGTGAGATTTGTCGTGATTTTTAAAGTGTATTTCTAATGATTATTAAATCACCACAGTAGAGTGTGTGAGATTGGTTTTGCAGATATGAAAGTGACTATATGATGTATATAAATGATGCCTAGACAAGACCTTAAAGCTACAGTGATATAACTTTTAGATTATTTTTTTTTTGTAGCTTCTGCTTCCATCTCAATTGCCAAATATAGAATGTCTGAAGTGTGCTGTCTTACTCTGATTATTATTTTTAAGTCTTATAGACTGATGGATCCTGCCATCCCTTTCTTTCAAGGTGGTGGTTCAGTGGGTTGAAATGAGAGCTCACATGTTCTTGACATCAGAAGCCACACGCGAGAACATATCAAAACACAAATAAAGTCAACACTTTGACGAGGTTATATGAACATACTTTTTAAAGTCCCTGTGAAGTGAAAATAAATAAATCAAGTATATAAAACGAGGCTTCAAAATCTCCCCATGCTGTTTTCCTGTATCTGCTGAATGTGCTCAAAAAATGTCCTCTGTGAGCCTCAAAAATGTATCTGCATAAAGCCACTGATGGCTGGAATATTTTCACGGTTTCTATAGTCCACATGCTATCAATTCGGACTTAAACAACAATTCCCTCCTCGTCGCTCGTCTGCTCTTCTTCGAGTGCCGTGCCTGTATTCACAGCTGACAATGAGGCGCTCTAAAGCTGCCACGCCAGCAGAATACCCAGGTTGGAGGCATCGGTAATTAAATGCACATCGTAATTCCACTGGTTAACCGATGATGCAAGCAAAGGCAGTCAAGTTCATAAATTCCGAGGGGAGGGGGAGGTTGCATGCATGCCCGAATGGAAGAGCGTCATGAGGCACAATTTTTCCACATTTTGAGCAATTATCTTCAAATGTATATCTTATAAGCAAATCCCTGAATTCACTTTACAGGGTCTTTACAGTTCCATTCCAATGTTAACGTGTGATCAACATTTCGTCAACAACCTGATTAATCATTTCAGTAACGTAGTAGATTGTTTTTGTACCTTTGGTCACAACCTTGATCTTAATTGTTTGCCCCTCAGTGCTCTTCTGTTGGAAGAAAAAAAATTAATGTGCTCAGCAGCCGCACATGAACTGGACCTTCCACCTGTGGCGTCATGTTTGGCATACACACACACACACACACACACACACACACACACACACACACACACACACACACACACGTCTTCATATCACCCTGTATCTGGAGATCAAAACAATTAGATGATAGTAGTAAAGGACTTGATGAAATGTTTCTACTTTTATACTTTATATTCTGATCAAACTACTGTAGCCGCTAAATACTTTTTTTAATTTTTCGAAGTGAATAGGTGTTCAGCGGAGTGTTCGATTATCCTGGTTGTTAAAAGATAATGCTGCTCCAGTTTTAGCCAAATTGGACTCTTCATCAAGATTGCTTTTGTGGCTTGCAATTCGAGTTATTATCTTCCTTTTTGAGGATGAAATTCTATACCAGCTAAGGATGTGATGCGTATTGGTGCCGAAATGGGTTATAAAAATGAAAAATTACGAATTTCTGAAATTTAAAGAGCCCATCCTCATGGAAATGCTAATGTACATCGCAATCGTACTGATTTTTTCTCTCACAGCAATGTCTTTTGCTTTGTGTTGAACTTTTGTTTAGAGATGCTAAAATAAAAACTGTCATTGAGCCAGAATGGGTATCTTTTTTGTGTGTGTGTGTGTGTGTGTGTGTGTGAAATAACATATTAATATCTCAGCAGATTCAACACTGCAACTTTTTTCGGTATGATTTATAGTTGTTGTTTGTGGTTAAATAAGCATACAGGCCCAGAGTGAGTAACTTGGGCATTTTGTTTCGTTCATTCCCACTGGCCAGGCTGTAATCAACTCTATTACATACCACTATGTACTCTACTCTTCAATGCCCATTACTTTCTAACAAACCACACGTTAGTTCCTTCCGGCCCGGAGGACCGTTTTAAAAACAACAAATATCCAATATGTTGACAGACTCGACAACACTTAAAACTGTTGATTCTTTACCGGATTAGGCACACTGCTTGTGCTGGAAATGCTTGTGGCGTAGTAAGTACAGTAGTACAATTTTGATACGTTTTTGTCGGTGCAACACCGCCGGAGAAGAAGAAGATCTGACAGTCCTAAAATAGTGGTCCTGACAATGGAAGTGCAGTTAGAATAATAATAACAGACTGACGGACATTCTGACGGTCCCAAGATAGTGGTGACGAACTTCATTGAGTGATGACTGACGGTGACGGTTTTTGGTTTGGCTTCAAATAATGACAGATTAATGATGACGGACAGGTGGCCTGGCAACTGGCGAATGACGAATAACGGACCAGTAGATTTTACTTGACATTAAACAGCAATAAAATACCGTAAATGTCATTCTTTCACACTGAAATTAGATGACTTTTCCAAAGGTGACACACAATAATTTAAAAATGTCATTCTTTGTCAACAAGTGTAACAAAATGCACACCAAGGATGTTGCCAGTCATCGAATGCAGCGGTGGGCAATTCGAGTCCTGGAGGGCCGCCATCCTGCAGGTTTTCCATCTCTCCCTGTTGCAACGACACCTGATTCAAATGATCAGATTATCAGCAAACTCTGCGCAGCCTGATATTGAACCTATTCATTTGAATCAGGTGTGTTGCAACAGGGAGAGATGGAAATCATGCACAATAGTTGCCCTCCAGGACTGGAATTGCCCACCCCTGGTCTAACTGCTATCTACTAAAATGGATTTCAGATTTACCAGTGTGTCATAAACCGAGGAGAATTGTGCTATTGTGGCAATCTTGAAACTATAAATTCCAGAAATGCACGTAATTTAATGAGATAGTATTAACGATGCCAGATAGGCGTACGTTTTACATAAAACCTACAGACAAGTATTGTTACATTTTCTTGCACGATGTGTGCGCGGAAAATACATGACAGGGTTAAGCACGGTAACAAGGTATTGATACTTGGTTACTTCGAAACACTGACTGTCGTCGGTAATATGCCATTGACTCGCGGTGGCTTCGGCGCTCCGTCAAGTGGGTGAGCAGCTCCTGACACGTAAACACCTCCCCTTCAATCCAGAGGAAGTCTTCTCAGGGGGGACGTCTACCACGCGCGAGTTGACAAATCAACATCGATCCGCGTGGAACCGATGAAACGCGCGTGCACGCTGAACTGATAGCCAGTTCACGCGCCTCTCCGCCTTTCTCATTCGACCGGCGCTTCAAAAACCAACAACAACGCCACTGGACGCACAGCGCCTCTGCTCGCTCGAATCCTGGGGTAGAGGACGGAGGCGTCTTCGACTGACCGACCGAGGCTTCCCACACTGTAGTCCAGCCGGAGATATGGAGGGGGTCGGCGGCAACAAGAGCATGTCGTATAGCCGATGGAGCTATGACAGGTAAGACTATCTCTATCTATCCATCTATCTATCTCTCTATCCATATTGGTGCCTTGAGATGCGAGTTCAATTTGTTCTGTGGCTAAACCACAACAGTTGCATCACAAATCATCGTTCCCTATGGAAATGAATGGACATGCTCTTAATTTGTTCCAGTCTCCCCAAAGAATAAAGAATAAATATGCTTATATTTTTTTTATTAAGTAAAGTAGCTATACAAATAAATAAATATATATATATATATATATATACACACATACATAAGAGAACACTGACATAAATAAATAGAATGTAAAGTAATTGCCTTGGCCATGGGACAGTATTATTTAAATATATATTGTACATGGTGATGTAATATTAATATTAGTCATTTTTATAGAGGTGGCATGGCTCAGTGGTAGAGAGGTCATCTCCCAACCCAGAGGTTGGAGGTTCAATCCCTGACCATTGTGACCTTATTGAAGTGTCCTTCACCAAGATACGCAATCCTTAGTTGCTCCTCATGCTATGTCATCAGTAGGTAAATGATGAAACAGTGTAAAGCGCTTTGAGTATTACAGATAGAAAAGTGCTATGTAAGTGACAGCCCATTTATCAAGATTATGTACCTGTTTGTATTGTTAAATTGCCCATCCAAAACAATTTGAAAGGTGGACTTGTCAGATCACAGCACACATTTCTACTTTAGTCCATCTCTAATGAGCTCAGGCCCACCGTTTCTGAGTCCTCTTGATATATGGCTTTCATTTTGTAGAGTTTTAACAAAGGTTTTTAATGCAGTGCCACCTGTGGGATCCAAGGGAATGAGCACTCAACGTTGGTGTTCGGCCTTGCCACTTTACGTACAGAGGTTTCTCCGGATTCCCTGAATTTTTTGATGATATTATAGACCACAAATGATGAAATCACGAAATTATTTGCAAATGTACATTGAGAAACATTCTTAATGTGTTTACTATTTGCTGATGCAGTTGTTCACAAAGTGGTAAACTGTGCCCCATCCTTGCTTTTGAACAATTGAGCCTTACGTGGACGCTCCTTTATACTCAATCCTAGACCCACACGTTTCTAATTCATTAGTTCACCTGTAGAATGTTACAAACAGATGCTTTTTGTTGTTGTATTATTATTATTATTATTATTATTATTATTATTTAAGAATTCCTCAATTTGTCCACTATCTTGTTTTTCATGCCCTAGCTTTTTTGGAACATGTTGCAGGAATCAAATTCAAAATCAGAGAATGCATGCAAAAAAATAAAACAAAACAACACCCCCCCAAAAAAACAACAACGGCAATAAAGTTTATCAGTTTGAATAAAATATCTTGTCATTTTGGTGTATTTTACCGAGCAAAGGTTGATTTGCAAAAGCATTCAGTTTTTATTTACGCTTTGCACGTCTCAACTTCAGTGGAATTGTGGCATGTACAATAATGAGCTGATAGGACTGGTGTTGACACTATTTTAACCCTTCCGTGCACCAACAATGATAACCTGTTACCTGATAACATGATAAGCTATCCACTGCGGTAACCGCTGTCCCTGAAAGGGTTAATCTGTCCCACACAAAGACAAATTGACTTTTGTGACGTCAGCATGGAGTGTGAGAGGGTCAGTCTAGTCTTGTGTACATCCTTCAGATGATAAATGTTTGTTTTGAAAAACCCATTAATAATACAGAGTGTGCATTTCATTGTGTTATCCCCACCATTGTCTCTTTCTCGGCCAGTATAATTACACATACATAATGAAAACAATAGCTGAGCTGTCCACCACTTCCTGCTCCTGTCGGTTGTTTTGGTTTGGCGATCTGTCATTGTATGGCAGCAGGAGACAGCCCTGTACAAGCTGCCTCTGACTGTATAATTGGTATTCCGATTCTGTTCTTGCACATCCCAAGAGGCCTCAGCTCGAGCCGCTGATCTCTTGCAGCCCAAGATTTTTCACCACACTGGGAACTATGAACAGCATGCAAGCTCCTGCGCACTGTGCGAGGATCAATAACGATAAATAAATATTGTTTGTTATTAGTGTGCAGTGGTAAAAAGACGAATAAGATCATTCCCAATGCCAGGCCCCCTGATTCCTCTGTGACCAACTCTGTGTGTTTACATAAACACACTGGCTGGGCGTATTTATGAATATTCAAATGAATGAAGAGCCCATTTTGTTGTCAGAATAGGCCAAATCTGAATCAATGGCGTTAGTGTAACGACTTCTGTTTGCGTAAGACATTGGCAAAAGCGGCAGCATTCTTGGCATGTCCACTCATTAAATAAATGAGTCATAATTACAACGGCTATGAGAAAATAGAAAGCACGTTGTCATTTAGTGAAGAAATGGATCAAATACACCAGGGAAATTGATGCTGCTGTTGCTAATCACGGTTTTCAGAGCTTCTTTCAACGATCGGCCATTTCTTTTAATACTGCTGTTCCGTTTGTTCCCCATAGCATTCTCAAGTCTCTGTTCCATTACAAGACAGGTCACATTTTCAGTGTGTTTGTGTGTTGGTTTGATTTCATTGGGTTAATCTGAATCACAAATTATTTTTCATCTTACAAATTGATGTTTGGAAGCATTATTTCAGGCATATCAAAGCAAAATACAAATACTACACATAGCTGCAAATATGTACAGTTATGTCACATTAACTTAGTAACAAAGTATTTGTACTCCATTACATTATAAGACCGGGCTCCTATCCCTTTATCAGAGCATTACCCTGATTTGTGGAGGTACATTTATAAATGTTAAGGTCAAATTTAACCCCAAACTCTTTCTGCCTACTGCAGCTGTACTGATGTTTATTTATTTTTATTTCATGGTCCATGTCATACAGTTTTGTATGCATTTTATTGCATTTCAGTTGTAGACTATTCCCAAAATATCAGACCGGAACTGTCAAACTTTTCTGCCACCCTTAGTTGGGATATGCTTTTTTTTTTTGCCACGATATGCTTTATTATGCTTGTGGAGTCAGTTCATTGGTTGACAGTAAATGCTGCTTGTCGTAATGAGGCCAGGAGGAGAATCAATGCCGTGTTTCTGGTTGTGTTGCTCCATGTCATGTTTATTTTCTTGGTTATTTGTTGAATTGATTGATGAATCACACACTGTCTCTCACTTTGATGTGACATTATTTACCATTATTTATTTACAGTACCCGCTACCCACGTGGGGATAAGCGGTTCGGATTATGGATGGATGGATGGATATGTACAGTATTTCTGTCTAAACATCCAGGACTGAAAACTGAACGATCTGTCTTACCATTGGGAAAACACAGGAAACTGAGATTTCCGAGGGGCAGTTACTTTCGTTTATCTGTTCATGTGTTTTTGGAAAAAAAAAAAAAAAACAAATGCTTGAACTATCATGATACGTTCCACGTTCCTTCTCATGCAATGGACTAATTCCGCTGACTGCACATGTGCAAACTTGATTAGGGAAGAGGTTATCGCATCGCAAAACGGGCACCATTCGGACATTAGTGTAAGCTATGCTGACTCAAGTTGAACCACTTGGCTGCAAAGAGCCAACATTTTGTCTTTTTCTGTCATGAAGTAGGAATTTATGTTACGAGTCAACATTACCTTGAGCTCAGGCTTGAAAGGAAACAATTATTGGACAGTGTAACCGAAAAAGATGATTTTATAGGCAGTATATGGTAGACTATGCCTTTGAGCATGAGTATCTCAAAATATATCGGCCTCTGATTAGAAATTGTATTGATAACCCAGATGCTGAACCAAGCATACTATGTTTTATTGCAATAGATAAGAAAAGATAAGAAAACCTTTATTTGTCTCACAATTGGGAAATTCCCAATTTACAGCAGCAAAATTATGAAAGGGAGAAAGTAGAAGACAAAAAGTACATAAATAAATATAATATAAATACTGTATAAGCATATTAAAAAATGGGTGAGTCTGGGTGAGTCCAGGTTTTCAGGACAGTCTATTCAATAGCCTGACAGCAGTCAATAGAAACAATTGTCATGCTACAAATGAACGTAACGTTTGTCATGGCAATTCGAGCGTCTGGAATGAATAATGATGATCTGCAGCAGAGTCAAGTGATGAGTGATGATCCCGAGGCGGTGTATCTACATTTGCAGGCTTGTATGGTCTTAGGCATTGTAACTCATGGTGTGCCTGCCAGTGCTTGGACATACAGTACGCGCAATCTCACAATGTTCTCGCACCCACTCAGCAAACACTGTAGCCCGGAGATGGAGGCACAAGGTGGGCTAACAAGATAATATCCAGATTATGGAAAGCTCTGCCTTGTATTTTCATGCTTTTATTTAAAGTTTATTGTATAATGGGGACGACGGGGTGGAGGGGCTATAGTATATTATAAACACGCTTATGTGTCTTTGCGTGAGTATGGTTCCACCAGACAGTTATCTCCGTCACAATTTCCAAATCATTTGAAACTCGGTGGTCATGAGTGGTCCTTTTACATCTACTCTACTTGAGGAGGCCAACTAAAAAAAAAACTGGGGCTGAAGTGTTGTGCAGTGTGTGAGTTTCTGAGCCTAGATTTCACAAATCAAATTTTGAACCACATGTTGCAAAAATGCCACAGGAGGGCATTTTTTTATCCTCCTCAACATCGTCCCTCTCTCCCTACCTCCATCCATCCATCCATTTACGATAGTGGTTACCCTTGTTTGGGGCACAGTTAAACTGGAGCCTGCCTGGGTTGACTTTGGGCCAGAGGCAGGGTACACCCTGGACTGGTCACCAACCAATCCTATGGCCCATGAAGACAAACAATCCCTCCCAATCACATTCATGCCTAGAACAGAACAGAAATATCACACAACGATTCAAGCCCTGAACCTCAGAACTGTGAGGCAGACGGGCTAATCACGATCTCACCACGCTGTCCCGAACTGGTAGCCATCTTTATTATAGAGAAGAGCAAATTTCAATAGATAGTGAGTCAGCTGCATAAAGACGATTGCTTTATTGGCTCTGGCCCTCAAGT